ATGTCTCTGTTGTTGTCACACAGTGCCGGCATGAACTCACTACAGTCCCACTGGAGCGCTCTGAGGTTAAGTGCCAAGAGCTCAAGAGCACAACAATGATAACCAGCAGTTCACCGCTATGGGTTTTCAATGGTCCGAGTCTATAGCTATATCTAGGACGCAGGGCAGTCTGATTTATTTTCATTATCAAATATGAAAATACACTGATAGCATTAGGACTCTTAAAATAAAGATCCTGGTATAAAATGATGAAATATCTATAATTCTGCAAATTTTTTGTACATAAGGTCAGATGTTCTTGCTTCCAATGAAGCACAAACTGTTTTTTGGAAAATCTTTTTGGAAAATGAAATTATTAAATATTAAAGCATTAAATATTCACTCAAAGTTGCATGCTGATACACTACCGTTCAAAAGCTTGTGGCCAGGCCACCAGTATGACTTTTCTTTTTAACAAAATGTATATTTTTATTCACCAGTGATGCATTAAATTAGAGACAGCAAAGACATTTATAATGTTACAAAAGCCTTTTCTACTTCAAATAAAATCTGTTCTTTTAAATGTCCCACTAAAAAAACAAAACCTGAACAAAATGTATCAGGGTGTCCACAAAAAAAATCATACAACCCAGTAGTGCAATTTCATTTGTAATGTAAAGAAACATATTAAAATGCAATATAGAAGCATTTTCTAAGACTTCTGGTTCCCATTATATAACACATTTCAATACATTTTGAATTTGACTTTATGGGACGATATACTGTTAATCTCAAAACTGCTGAACATTAGGTAGAATGATATATCAATCTATAACTAGCGCTAACTCACGACTGAATGGCCCAGCCAGAGCCCTGACTTAAACCCAATTGAGCATCTCTGGAGAGACCTAAAAATTGCTGTCCACCAACGTTTACCATCCAACCTGCCAGAACTGGAGAGGCTCTGCAAGGAGGAATGGCAGAGGATCTCCAAATCCAGGTGTGAAAAACTTGTTGCCTCTTTCCCAAAAAGACTCATGGCTGTATTAGATCAAAAGGGTGCTTCTACTAAATACTGAGCAAAGGGTCTGAATACTTAGGACCATGTGATATTTCAGTTTTTCTTTTTTAATAAATCTGCAAAAATGTCAACAATTCTGTGTTTTTCTGTCAATATGGGGTGCTGTGTGTACATTAATGAGGAAAAATTTTTTACTTAAATGATTTTAGCAAATGGCTGCAATATAACAAAGAGTGAAAAATGTAAGGGGGTCTGAATACTTTCCGTACCCACTGTATATATATATATGTGTGTGTGTATCTGACATCAATTTCACAAAAGCGGAAAAACTGTTAAAAGTCTTTTAGCAGTACACTAGCATATAGGCTGCTATAGATGACTTCAAAGCTAACACACAAGGACTGAAAACTAAACTAAAACACCCAGTTTAGATTTGATGGGCTCTTGGTTTCATGGTTTGATTTCACAGAGACATGAAAATGTACTGCACAGTAGGAATGACCCATGTGTGCTGTTTTTGTTGGTTTGCGCAGCTTGATTTCACCAGCAAATTGAAAGACCTTGCAGCGAGAGCCAACACTTTCATTTAAACGTGTCCAATTCAAAAGAACATCGGCATCTGATGGGAGACTGCAGGTTTGTGATTAGCGTCCAGGTCGGTGTGATTTACTCGAGACCTGGCCAGTCTCTATTCCCAGGTCTGCCAGGTTTCCACACGAGCTCGCTACTTTCCTTCGGTGATTTACGTAGCTACTGCGAGCAGCTGGAAGATTTTTGCCATTCTGGAGTCGAAGTCTCTCTCGACGGAGAGCACATTCAATAGGCCTGAAAATCCATGAGGGAAAGATAAATCCTGAGCGCTGGACTGAACACACCACTCCGGAGTGGGAAAATTAAGCTTTCAGCCAGTGAACTGGGGGGAAGAAAAAAAAAACGCCTGAAGAGGGGCAATCAAATGAACACAAGATATGAAGGAAAGAATGTCGCCACTTTAATCATTTTGTTGATGATTAAAGAAAGGAAGTCAAATATTACAACTTCAGGCCTCGAGTACAGGATGTGTTAAACCGAGCAAAATGAAATGCAGTGAATTCAACAGAGAGTTCAGTGGTGTTAGAAAAAGAAAGGTTGTTATGCAATGTTACACTTCACCTTGCTGTACCATTCGGAGTCATGAAACTGTAAAAAAAAACAAAAAAAAAACAACAACACTAAGAGCAAAACTATCCACTGGAAAGACTAGAGCACAAAAACAGAGGCTAAAGGAAAGAAATTGATAGAAGATCTGACAGATATTTAGAAACGACTGAACACACCACTCCGGAGTGGGAAAATTAAGCTTTCAGCCAGTGAACTGGGGGGAAGAAAAAAAAAAACGCCTGAAGAGGGGCAATCAAATGAACACAAGATATGAAGGAAAGAATGTCGCCACTTTAATCATTTTGTTGATGATTAAAGAAAGGAAGTCAAATATTACAACTTCAGGCCTCGAGTACAGGATGTGTTAAACCGAGCAAAATGAAATGCAGTGAATTCAACAGAGAGTTCAGTGGTGTTAGAAAAAGAAAGGTTGTTATGCAATGTTACACTTCACCTTGCTGTACCATTCGGAGTCATGAAACTGTAAAAAAAAACAAAAAAAACAACAACACTAAGAGCAAAACTATCCACTGGAAAGACTAGAGCACAAAAACAGAGGCTAAAGGAAAGAAATTCATAGAAGATCTGACAGATATTTAGAAACGAGCACCATGGGACCGTTTTAAGGAGGCCATTTTACCCTTTTAAACGAAGGCTGAGGGAATGACAGAGTAAAAAAATGAGGCTTGAGTTCCTCAGGAGCATAGAGATTTGTTCTGGCACAGCAATTCCAGTTTCACCAGTTGAGTTTATCCACTCGCAAACAGGCGTTTGGGATCCTTCAGTGCTTAGATTTTAGCACGGCGGATAAAGATGTCAAAAGTCCTGTGAAAATGCATGGGGCTTTTTTTAACACGTGGCTCCTTAATCAATAACAATGATTTAAAAAAAACTGAATATGCGAAGACGTTACGCCAATCTGCGTGGTAAAGGACAGATGCCACTTTGCTAATCTTATAAGAGGTTTAGTCATTAGGCCTGTTATCAATACTGCCAAAATGAGAATTTTATTTTATATTAATTACAGTCTGGCATTCCTCATTAAATGAAGAGGATTTATTAAGTAACCATAATTATGACCTGGAAGGATTAATAACCAGCTGGGACATTCATATTCTGTACGGAAAATATATCACTCAACGCCCAATTATTAGCTTTTGGTTGAGCTCAAGTACAATTAACAAAATGAAAGAACCATTTGCATAAGTTAATTACATAAAAATGCCAGCCTTTGGTCACATTTATACAAATGTCGATGCCTTGAGAATCCAATACTTGATATAAGTGAGGTGACCAGTCTTTAAGCGAAAGGAGAGGTTAGCTTGAAATGCCAAATATGCAAAAGAAACAAATGTACAAATATAGCTAGGGTGACCATACGTGCCATTTTCCCAGGACGCGTCCTTGCCAGGATTTGTTTTGGCTTTGTTTTTCCTGTTTTCATGCTTGCTGAAGGTAATGATCGAAAAGTAGTTTGACCAATAACATGCAGGCATTGTACATAAATGGACCAATCATGGTGTGTGTGAGAAGGTGGGACATATGGTCAAAGCGATGCAATTACGCGTACATAGGATGAGTGTTCGACTTAAAAGCAGCATGATAAGCCCGGCTCAGACCGATAAGTGTTTGACATCAAAATACCTCGAGAGCATTTTGAAAGCATAAGGAACCGTCTGTATGGTATTTTGATGTCATACACCGATCGGTCTGCACACACAAACAAAGCCAAAACCTAGATATTTTAGGCAATATAGAAATCCTGGCCAGGGAAAATGGCACGTATGGTCACCCTAAATATAGCTTGCATGCTAACCTTATTGGCATGCAAAACAAGGTTGCTAATTTGCAAATGCTCATTTTTCTTTGTTGATTGCTGATTAGAAAGCACATGAAATTAGGACACAGTGGACATTACAGCTCTTTTGCAAAATGATTATACAAATCTCCAACATTAATCTCTTTATGAGCTATTAAAGGGACAGTTCACCCCAAAAATGAAAATTCTGTCATCATTTACAGTGTAAATATTATGGTTAAATATATTTATATTATAAAAATTAGAAATAATACATTTAAACTGAAATACTAAAATGACTAAAAATTTTATAAAATAAATTAAAGCCAAATAGAAATATAAAATAATAATAATACAAATTTCAAAAACAAATTTAAAATACCTGTAAGACTTTTTCTTCTGTGGGAGATATATAAATAAATGCCGAGACATTTTTGAAAATATCTCTTTTTGTGTTCCACTAAAGAAAGAAAGTCTTACATATGACACCACAAGAGGGTTAGTAAATGATGACCATTTTAATTTTTTGGGGTGTACTATCCCTTTAAAGGAAAGGAGACGTGCACAAACTGGCAGAAATACATCAAATACAAAATCACATGCTAACATGACTAATTTGCCACTTGCACATTATAATTTTGCTTTGTTGACCACTGAATGGAAAACATGATCATACATAGAAAATGACAGGCCTTTTTTGAGGAAAAACTGACAGTACAAAACTCCAATATGAGTCCCTTTCTGAAGGCTGTGGAAAAGGTTAGACAACACATAACGGACTAAAAAAACCTGCTCCGAAAACCAAATATGTCACAGAAACCGCAGGGGCAAAGATTCAACAAAACGCTTTGACAAGTAAACCCTGAAGATACTGACAATACACAGGCTGAAGAGCAAAGTTTCAACACAGCAAAGAAAGTTTTAACAACCAGATGAGCCAAGAGCCAAAAGTGTCTCACTCATTACTCCAAGGCACGGTTTCGCAACAAAGACTAAGCACAGTACTAAACAAGGAAACATGCTCATGTACTACGTGCTAGTCATTAGAAATGCACATCTTACCTTTAAGCTGATCTGCAACCACACTTGGTCCAATCCTTTCTGGGACTCGGCCATCTTCTCGCAAGTACCGGTCATCCAAGAACTTGTCCGTGGCCTCCGAAAGGTGAACCTTCCCGGCGACACCCAACTGCTCCATGAGATTGGCTAGGTTGACATCATTGGACCAGACGTCGAATTTAAACCGCTTCATGCCGAGGATCCCGCAAAGCACGGTGCCCGTGTGGACGCCAACACGCATGTTCACCATCTCCTTTTTTTCTTGACAGAACTGCTCAATGGCCTGGATCATCCCAAGCCCCATCTCTATGCAACAGTAGGCGTGGTCCTCTCGTGGTTCGGGACAACCAGCCACGCAATAGTAACAGTCTCCCAGCGTGCTGATCTTCTCGCAACACGCGAGCTCGCACAGGCGATCGAAGCGTCCAAATAAGTCATTGAGGAGTCCCACCAGGGCATGCGCCGACTTGTTGGCGCTCATCTTGGTGAATCCCACAATGTCCGCGAACAGTATGCTGACTGGCTCCATGCGTTTCATATTAAACGGCCGAAAGATGATCTGACCCCGAGGAATCGACGTCTTCTTGCGTTTGGTGCTCTTAGGACTGGAGGCGCCTGCAATCGCCGATCCCGTCGAGTAGCGCTTAACCGAATAGTCACTGTCGTCGTCGCCCTGCTTCATGAGCTCATCGCAGCTGTCATATTGAGAGCAATATGAAATCAACCAGACCAATTTAGCGTTGACACCTCTACATATAAACACATTTTCTTTCCTATCTGTCTGGTTCCACAGACAGACAGACAGACAGACAGACAGACAGACAGACAGACAGATAGATAGATAGATAACAAAAAAGAAAACAGGCAGCCAAA